TTTGGAGGCGGAACTCCAGCAGGTGCTTTCCCATCCATCAGTCACATTCCATTTGTTGCCTTTGCCAGCTGCGGGAACAACCAAGACTGCTTCACCAAAGCCGAAGCCACAGCCTAGACGTTCCAGATCGCCCAAAAGACCCTCCGGCCCTGCACCACCCAAGGGCAAAGGCAAAGGAAAGAAAGGGAGCAAACGGGGACGGGGCCCTAACGTCCCCAAGGGGCTGATCAACAAAAATTTGCAGACATCACCAGGAGAGCGCCTTTGCTGGGCATTTAATTTGGATCAAGGTTGCCCAAATGCTAAGCCCGGAGAGCGTTGCAACCGAGGCATACACCTTTGCGCAGAACCAGGCTGTGAGAAGCCTCACAGCCTCCAGAAGCACCAATGACAGCCATCAGCGGAAGCTTCAATTTTGCAAGAACCAGCTCATCCGAAGCGAGAGCCATCTCTCTTGAAGAAGCCTCCGATCAATCAACTTTTTGCCATAGAAATCTTCGCAGGAAGCGGCAAACTCACAGCTTCAATTCGAGCCATGGGATTGCAAGACAGCTTTGGGATAGACTCGAAGCTGCCTCCAACCTTGCGAAGTCCAATAATTAAATACGATCTGACCAATGAGGAACATCTCGAACTTGTACAGAATTTGATCAGATCACCCCAATGCTGCTATGTACACTTCGCGCCTCCTTGTGGCACTAGTTCCAGAGCCCGCCTAATCCAACGCAAAGGACGATGGAATCCCCCCATCGTCCGTACTGACCAATATCCCGATGGACTCCCTAACTTGTCAGGAACCTTAGCCATTCGAGTCGCTGCGGCGAATAAATTATATGAAATCACCTGTGACTTGATCCGGTTGTGTTTGGATTTGAAAAAGTACTTCTCAGTGGAAAACCCGGGACGCTCTTTCATGTGGCAAACCACCCCCTTTGTCAAATTAATGAGTACCTTTCCTTTGCTCCAAGTGCTTTTTCATCACTGCAGATACGGAAGTTCTCGTCGTAAACTAACCAAGTTAGTCCATAACATCCCTGCTTTCCAAACACTAGAGTGTTTTTGCCAAGGCGATCACCCACACGATCCGTGGGGTCGCACTCCTGACGGTAAGTTGTCCACAGCAGAAGAAACAGCCTACCCATGGGAGTTGTGCAAAGCAATTGCTGCCAAACTCTTGCACCAACTCCAAACAGACGGGTACGATTGCAGTCCACCCGTTTTCGCCTTGCAGGAGTCATCACTCCAAACCATGAGAGCCTCAACCGACATTCAACCACGTCGGGGCTTACCATCGATGGTATCAGAATTTGAGAGCGTCCAAAATCACCCCATCGATACGCCTTTACCCATAAACTCCAGACGCCTCAGTACTCAAGTCCGGGGGTATTCCGCGAGTACTGATGATAAGCCAAGTTCAATCTCCATAGGTATCCACAGAAGCCCAGAAAAAATTGTGAGTGAAGCTATCAAAGTCGGACACCCCACCAGAGTTCACTCACTTTTTCCTGACGAGATAACTGATGTGGTAGCCTTGAACTTGAAGAAGGGTAAAAACATGGCCTTGACACGAACAGAAGAAATCAAAAGGTGGACAAGCATGTCCAAAGACTTGTCTGAACTCGAAGCCGACTTTAAGAAGACCATGTCAGCCCGACGCAGGACAATTCTCAAGGACAAGAAGCTTATCCTGTTTCAAAATCTGCTTGCTGAGGCTGGACACGAAGACGTAGACCTGGTCACACAACTTGCTAGGGGCTTTGACCTCACAGGCATGTTACCAGAGTCGCACGTCTTCAACCGGAAGGTCAGACCAGCAGCCATTTCCTGTGGAGAACTCAGACGTGCGGCAGATTTGGGTAGAGCGGGAATTTTGCAATCAGTCAAGTCCTCAGGGGACCCTGACCTCGACAGGGATCTGTACGCAGCAACCTTGAAGGAGGTTTCCAAAGGTTTCTTGAAGGAAGTCCCTGACCTGATGACCTTGCCCCAAGGCGCCACCTTAACTAGAAGGTTCGGTGTTAAACAAAAGAATAAGGTACGTCCCATAGATGATTATAAAGCCTCCTTTGTAAATAGCAGTGTATCTCAGACCGAGTCAGCCACAGTGCATACGGTTGATCACATTGCTTCCTTGATCTCTTGCTTCATGAGGGCGTCATGCAACCGTGAGGCGATGCCCACTCTGAATGCCAAGACGTGGGATCTTGCGGACGCTTACAAACAAGTGCCGTTGAGCGACGAAGCTTTTGAGATGGATTCTTACTTGGTGGTTTTCTGTCCGGACACTTCCGGTCCAAAAGTCTTCCAACAGAGTGTGCTCCCCTTTGGATCAGTGGCGTCAGTCACATCATTCCTAAGAATCGCTCACGCCCTGTGGCGATTGGGAACCAAGTTGCTAGGACTCATGTGGTCATCGTACTTCGATGACTTTTTCTCGGTGGAAATCCATGACTTCTCGAGACACACCGACCTGGTGATAGCTTCTCTCTTTAGCATTTTGGGTTGGAAATTATCAGCTGAAAAACTGATTGATTACCACACCATTTGCAAGGTTCTGGGAGTAGAGTTTGACCTGGGAATGTCAGGAGAAGGCCTTTCATGGGTTTACAACACCGGAGACCGGGTAGACGAACTGTGCCATCAATTGGACGGCATCATTCAGTCAGGTTTCCTCAGAAGGTCCGAAGGTGAACGACTGAGAGGGCGACTACAGTTTGCCTGCGGTCAGCTCTTTGGCAGATCCGCCAGGAACCATATCCGAATTCTTTCCGACCACATTAAGAGTTGCAGGAGTAAACTTGATGATGACACTCTACATGCCCTAAGACAGATCGACGAGCTGATTCGTGCCAATCGGCCCAGGAAGCTCTTAGGGACCTTGACTGACCATTTTCATGTGTACGTTGATGCATCTTTTGACGATGATGGCTACACCGGCATAGGTGGCGCTTTATACAATAGCTCTGGTCAGGCAATAAAATTCTTCAGTGAGAAAGTAGACCTGAGTTTCATTGAAACAGTGAAACAAGAAAACCAAAAGAACATCATTCAAGAGTTGGAGATGCTCGCTTTGCTGACCGCCATTGAAATTTGGGGTCCCGTGTGGGAAGGCCACAGAGTTGTGGCATTTACAGATAGCGAATCCGTTCGCGGTAGCTTTTTGAAAACTTGGTCCAAAAACTGTCCTTGCAACAAGTTGCTGGCTCGGATTTTCTTCTTGGAAGAATCCCACACATGCCCCTTGTGGCTTGAGCGAGTGCCGAGCCAATCCAACCCTAGCGATGTTCTCTCACGAAGCCAAGTGGCCGTGTGGAAGGGGTTGACGAGGGAACAAGTAGACTTCAGATCCATCTGGAGTCATGCCATCAGTTTCCCGGGGTAAGAGCGCGATGCATGACAGTGAGACCAATTCTCCCCATTGTCAAAAAGAGCGTTTTGCGGCAGCAGTGTTTCGACGTTTCATGTCAGATGAATTTCACAGAGATTGCTGTAAATGAAACCGCTTTTCCGAGTTGTCACCACAGCGAGCGTTTTGATGCTATGTAAGAATTCTCTCATGGAACATGATAGATTTTTACATACTACGAAACGTGAAGAATGTAATGTTTCATTACATGCCTGTGGTGACACTGAACAACATTGGAGATGAGAATGTCAGATGTAAACTGAACTTTAATAGATCTCAAGAATGGTGGTTTTCTTTCAGTGAACATCTTTTCGAAGCTTTTGAGTTTACGGTGATGATGTGTCGAATTTTTCATCATGTTGCAATTTTGGATTCAAGCTTCAAGTGAAGCAATGTGGCAAGTGCCACAGAAATGACATGGCAAGTGCCAAGACTCATGTCTTTAATTCATCTCAACACTTGACATGTCAATCAATTCACGAAAGTAAACATGAACAAATTCGAAATCATCAACATCATGTTCACTTTCAAATTTTTCGTCCCACCCATTCTTAACCCATCCCCAAATTCATTGCCAAGTGATGCAATGACTAACATCATCCAAGTGGATCTCATTTCCTTTTCTCTCTCGACTTCGCCATCCAATGGCCGAACCGTCGTTACAAGCTATCTTTCAACAAGTGTTTATCACACAATCATTTCTTCATCAACTGCAGACCGCGGAGGAGTTCATCAGTGATATTTCCGATCACCTTGACGAATTTGAAGTCCCACATGAGGACAACTACATGCAGATCCGCACAGGCATCCGTCAATTGCGTATCCACTTGAACTTCCTCCTGGCCATCCAGTTGCTTGAAGCATGCCGTGCCCTTGAACGCTACATGCAACGGCAC